TGATGCACTAAAATTAATTTTAATATTAATTACAAAATTAATATTAAAATTATAATATTAACATTAAGTAAATTAATATTATTATTAATTTTAATATTATTAAAATTATATTTATTTATATTTATATTTTCACTATGTAAGACTGACAAAATTATTGCATTTATGTAATAATTGTTGAAAATTTGTTGTTTATGATATCGAAAGAATAAAGATATTATATTATATTATATAATTATTATATATTATATAATAATATAATTATTTCGAATGTAATATATATTATTATTATTCCGAATTACAATATATCATATGATTCACATTATTGGGAATAATACGACTCTTAAAAAAAATCTCTCTATACTTATATAATAAATAAAACTTTCATAATAATTCAACCATTTGACTGAACGCCACGCTCGCCGTCCACGTCATCCGGTATTTATAACAAAGCAGCTCCACGATTTTAATTTTCTTTCAATGTCTACTCAAGATCAAAAGAGTGAAGGACACACGAGACTCTCGGGCCTCTCGAGAAAGTGTTTCGCACAGCTCGTAACTTTAAGTGCTGTAGTGAAAGGGTTAACACAGACCAGTTTGATGTTTCAATCATCATAAAGCATCGTTCGAGAGCGGAGATCGTTCTTCCTCTAAAATTGCTAACTCACTGAAGAAGCACAAAGAGGAATTTCGATATCGCTGCTCCAGTTTCTGGAGACTCTTGGCTTCCTGCTAGGGAGAGGCTTCGTCTTCTCCAAAAGAAGGATGCGTTTGACCTGACGGGTCAGGCTGGAACATTTTTTCGGAGGCTCAGATGAGAAAGTCCGACAGGGCTGTATGAAAATTTCGAGCGACGAATTCATGCTCGTGACCGGGCAAGTTGTAAGTGGAAAGAGACATCGTTTGGACCACACGTGAAACGCTTCAGTTTTGACGTTGCTTGAGATTCTCGAGTCGCGTTTACACCATTACACCGAGTTCTTTTAATTTTTCTTTACTTTTCACATTAATTTTTCTTTTCTTTACTTTAATTTTTCTTGCTTCCAGTCAGGCAACGTTTCTCGATAAAGTGACACTAAACCGAGGTTCATTAGATGATTAAATTGAATAGTTTTATGATAGTTTTCGTGATATTTTATTTTTATGATAGAGCAAAGAACTTCTTTGTTCTTCCGATATCATAAACAAAAAATTTTCAATAATTATCGTATCACGTAGGTGCAATAATTTTGTCGGTTTTACATAATAAAAATATAAATATTCGTTTTCGAGGTGTCTATCATTTGCTTAATTTTACGAGTCTCAGGTGTTTCTCAATCAATTAATAGCTCTTGCAAAAAATGTGTTGAAGTCATCAATATCTCGTTTGATTTATTTCTCATTTGCAAACGCTTCTCCTTTTGATATTTTGGTACTTTAATGCTACCTTCATGAATTTTAAATAAATTGTGTAAAATAAACAAAAGCTATTTTTTTTACACATTGTCGAATGCGTATAACGTCTGTAATCACTATGTAAAATTAATTTATTTAGTAGATATTAGTAGATGTTATATGTTGAAAAAAATGTTATTATTATTAGAAAGAATATTATTATTACAATAAATAATAATAAGAAGAATATTGTTAAACGCTATAGGGATCGACAGAATTTTCATACATCTATCTAATATTTTTTCGAGGAATTCATTGACACAATTTTGAAAAAGATTACGAAACGTCAACGACCGAAAACTGATATGCAAATGGCGGATATTTATGCATTTATGGAAAATTTGAAGATACGAAAATGTGAAACAATATGTATATGCAACATGCGGCTTAGTATTCATTGCGATATTCAGTAGACGAAATGAGTCCTCCTGTTTGGCTTTCATTTCTTCAGTTTCGCTCGTAAAAATCGATAACGCGAACAGGAGTGGTACACGAAAATGGCAAAACAACCGTACACGGGGTGATTAGGTTACGTCTCCCTCGGGAGAAGAAACGAGGCCGCAAGAAATCGCGAGGATAACAAAGCTAGTCAGCTTATGGCTCCGGCGAGGGAATCGCGCGATAGACCGAGAGAAATGGTACTTAAAGGAGGTCTACAGTTAGGTAACATGTGGCAAAGCGACCATCTGTCTAGGAAGCAAGTGCCAGTGGAATAGCTGCCAGAACAACGACGTCCTCTCTCTCTCTCTCTCTCTCTCTCTCTTTCTCTCCTTCTTTCCTTTTTAGGCGACGTCGAGACAGCTTTCGCAGCACACGCGCTAGAAAATTATGTTTCGCTTCTTTGAATTCAAACGGCTGTATACCTAATTATTTTCGCTGGTTGGTGTCTCGTTGCGAGGCCAACGTGATTGGAAGTCGATGTCACCGCCTTTCGCTCCGCGGTGAAATTGATTTAGAATTCCTTCCGAGAGATGTTCAATTTGCTCCCTTTTGTGCGATGGAGATGGGTCGGAGAAGCGTTGAGTATAAAATTCAACGGATGAATGGCACCTTTTGCGCGGAGATGAACAGAGATTGCAGTGCTATTGATTCGCGATTTGTTACCTGTAGTCTGTCTTTTATTAGACGAAGTACGTGCATGGATGGAACTTTTACTCTGGAAGAGTGAGGTACTTGACACTAGAAATATGTATTAGAATAGTGGTCGAAATTTTATGGATTTACAGTGATTTTTGAGGAATTCGACTGATTTTCTTCACAATTTTTACATTCTAGTTATTTGTAATTCTAGTATCAAGAACACGAAGGGCAATTGAATGATAGATTAAAATTATGAAACAGTTGGACATAGCACCAGTTTATAACAAGTATCTTCGATACTCTAAAAAAAAACAGTTATCATCTACATATAATAAAACAATTATTTTCTAAAAGAAAGAAATCTTTCCTTTGTTCAATATATTCTTTCGTCAAAGAAAAATAAAACAATTAAAATATTTATACTGATCCAGTATTATATCAGTCATTAATAACGAGTAACTCGTAATTATAGATATTATATTATATATGCGCTATACACTATAGTTGAAATATTTATACTTTATAAATTTAATATTCACAGCGAGCGTATATATTCATACTTTATAAATTTAATATTCATTCATAGCAACTATCTCAAAACTTGTTCCACATTCTTTAAATAAAATAAGAAAAAAGCACGTCTCAAAAAACATAGATTCTTTCTTCGTCGAATGCATCTTTTCAGACCTAACGAAAACAACTGATCCACTGTGTTAATCATCCATATACCTTCGATACTTCGAAACTCGAAGATAGCTATTATCTACGTATAATAACAAAATAAAAAAGAGAAAGCCTTTTGAACAAGGGATTCTTTCTTCCTTCAACGCACCTCCTCTCGTCAAGGAGAACAACCGAAATATTTATACCGGTCTAGTTAAATGGAACTTCGTGTACGAAACAGGTAGGTCATTATAAATCAAGGCAGATAGTCATCGGTCAGATGAGAAGACACAGATTGAGCCTGGAGCAATGAAACGAGCGTACAACACCATACAGTTCTTGTGTTTCAGGGGATTCAGCCAGCCAACGACAGACACAAGAGCAATAAAAACCAGTCGCCGTTTAATTACCGTCGAATTTCCATCGTCTTCGATACAAACACTTGAGTCAGACGATTACGCGTGAACGATTCGCACGGTACTTTATCGACTCGCGGCAGCGTTTATGCTTAATCGTAAATTAGCCGCGTGACAATTTACGCGAGGCAACCGTGATTTCGTTTAATTGGATTCGACATTGGATGCGCGAGGCTTGTTCGCTTGGTATTTCAACGGAACGCGTAATTATTAATCATTCTCGAGCACCACCTCGAATGCCTGTCTGTCTGATCGGCGAGTGAGCACTTCTCTGTTAATCGTTTGGCGGATAAATTGCGGCAAGGAAACCTTTTGAGTCACGTGTCACGCAGTCAGGGAATTTGAGGAAATAATAACTAGACTGCTGATGGTGCATCCATGGCAAGAGCAGAAATATGTAGAAATATACCGGGAAGACAAGTAGAGAGATATACAGGGTGTTTCGTTCATCTCATTTAATTAAAAAGCGTTGGAATAAAGTTGGATATTAATGATGCATAGACAGTCACAAAAGTCTGGGTATATCGACGAACGTCAAGTATTCATAGAAGAACAAGATTTTAAACATTTTATAGTTAAAGTTATATAAATTTTGAAGAAATGATGATGTTTCTTATGTTTGTTTGCTGGAAATAAATCGGAACAAAAAATCTACTATACGATTGCCATAAGTACATTGATAATATATTTATAAATTGTTAATTATTATTGTTATAATCCTAATAATTGTACGCGATATGAATTTTGCAAAATTGTGTTTTCGATTTATTCGCGTGTTCTTTCAAACGAATATACGAAACCGTTCGAAATATTTCTTTCTTTTTTTAAATATTTGAAATTTTGCATGATGTATGGTAAATAAATTTGTATATGTATTCAAATGCACGATGATAATTATCTTCGAAGTCACTGAATTTTCTGAAACAGGACTATACTGTTTCTATACGTTAGTCGATAACATTTTTTCTGTTTTCTTTGAGAACATACCTTTAGTTTAAAAGGACAAATTTTTGCAGAAACATTCGCAGTCTAATGACTATGACAACTAGTTCGAATTTCCAATTGCTCGTAGTTCGAACAGAGATATAAACATTGTCGTTGGTTTGAATCTAGATTTCTCTATTTAGTTACCTGGTTTCCCTAGTCTCGCCACTTTCCGGCTAACAAAGTGAAAATTGCAGCTGCTGCCGATTATCGTTGAACGCGCATTACCGAATACAAACAGAACGAATCGGTAAATCCGCGACGCGCATGAGGAGAGTTCCGGTCTACCGTAATTTGCTGGCTCGAAGCGACAGCGGGATCGGCGTAAGCGTGACGAGGGAACAGATTGTCGAGAACTTTAATAATGATAATGAAACTTCCGAAAATAGAATATCTACACTTGCTCTTCAGCCACATTATGCGGATACACCGAAATACAATGTAATATCAGGTCAGTCTCGTATATGCTACGTACAATTATCGAACGAGCATAGTATACGTTACCTCGTCTTTATATTTGTACATTATTGGCTAAAAAATCCTTTTTACAGATTGTACAGTATAGCACAGGACAAAATTGCAGAGTTAACGACTAGTTGTTTGCATATTGTCCAATAAAGCAAAAATCGAGTAAGACCCCTTTATGATCTGCAACGAGTATACTGTGTATCACAGTTGTACAGCGCAGGTAGCGTCGCATAGTTGATCGACGTGTACGTACGGTGATAAAAGTTTCCAGAGATAGCACCAAAAATACGCTGGCTTTTAAAGTTATCGACTGCCTGGTGAACATCGTGGATAACGTGAATATCTGCACGATATTCGTTAAACATTCGTTATGCCAGCCTGAGAGCCATTGGCTTCTGTCCAACGTCGAGCTCTGAACGATGATTCATGATATAAAATTCGTCATTTTCAGAAAGTTCCGTCGAAACTCGCCACGCCAAATTTTCAATTTTATTCGTTCGTTTGTACTTTCGCTTCCTCGCATTATTCGTCTATTCAGTTCATTTGCAAATTCAGCAAATTTGAATTCGAGCAATTTGATTTTAAAAGGATATTCAATTGAAAAAAGATTTAGTTACAGTGGATATAAATATTTATAACAATATACTAATTAATTGGATCCAAGTATATTGAATGTCACATAATTTCATAATGCGAATATGACAAATTTGATCAAAATATACTTGATTGAAGTAAGAGTATGTATATAGATGTGTGTATATATGTAAATACTTTTTGTAGCTATTCTATTATACATTTATAATTACTTATATTTCTGCAATTATTGTATATATGAAATTTAATTATTAATATTATATAAAAATAGAATTATAAGCATATATGTATGTTACTTCTAATTATGAACTATTATGTGAATTATTAGATATTGATAAACTCCCATTATATTAAAATACTATCTAGAACTAACGTTCCAGATGATTTCAAGTTATTAAAATTCAAGTTATTTGAATCCATTAATGGATTAATCCATTAAAAATAAACATTATGTTAATATAATATTCATTTCTCGACCCCTCTCAATTAATTTCTGTCATCAAACTCTATTTTTTTAATATTGAAACTATGAAAGAAAGTTCCAAAGATTCTATGTACAATGTTTTTTCATTATTACGTTTTTCATCAAGACTTTACAATTTTATGAAGTTTCAAGAAATTTCGAAACATTTCTTATGAAATTTCAAAAAGTATTTACAATATCATAATATCTGAACAGAGTTTAAGGCATATATTTATCGTTTTTATCTGTTTACATAAAACTTTTTAACTTCCGAATAGGCGAAATACGAGACGACGTATCTAATTAATTCTTACCATATAGCTCAGTTCATTTCCAATCCAACAGATATAGAAGAGTTGAGATATGCCCGCGCTTAGATAAATACCGAACTTTATGATGTCTGAATTTTGGCCTCCGACCTGTTTCGAATGACGCAAATCGATCACGATCTGATCAGCATGTTTCGGCCATCATGTCTTACCACAACAGCCTGAAAGCCAGTCAGGCAAATGATCGAAGTACTCGAAAGCATCTGAACGAACATGCTCATGCTGAACAATTTGTTGTAATCATTGCACATAGGTATTAACCGCTGATGAAATCGAAGACACGTTTTGTAACGATGGAGAAACGTATTGTTCGATTTTCTTTTGTCGTAACGAATATTCGTGCTAATGTGTTCATCATAAAACTTAGCTGCCTGTAAAGACAAGAGTCGAGAATTCGCGACATGAAATACAAAATGAAAATTAATCCTTTAAAGTGTAAACATGGATTTTCCATGTACGATGTGTTTTTCAGTGCGTCTTCCAAAAAATTTATACAACATATTTTTATATAAACTTAAGATTGTCATTGAGCATTTTTGATAACTAACTTTTTCATACATAATACACAGAATGTCACAATTTTTGTGATACAATGAGAGAAGAAGCGATTCTATATGAAAAAAATGAGACGAAAATGTGACACGAGAATAATCTACATTTAAACTTAAATAAAAAATGTAGAATATTCATTTTAGTCCTTTCTTGCCAAAAAAATAGATTTTGAATATTTTTCAGAAAGTTAACGATCGGCCTGATATACGTTGATATACATTCTTGAATTTAATTCCGATTTTTAATTTTTTAATTAAATTTTAACAAAGTATTTTGTGAAGAAATCTTATTCTATATTTTTCACTTATTTTTACGTGTCGACTGTTCACTCCTGTTCGGTTCAGAATTAATTCAAGTAAAAATAGTTAAATTTAATTAGTTCATTCTCTTTCCAGTGAAAACTGAAACACTCGGTATAAAGTAAGCATTATATTCGAATTACCTCGAATATGGAAGACCCGTATTTACATAATAAGGATTAAATCTCGTTTTCTTACATTCTCGTTCGTTTCATTCGTGCAATTTTCAAAGTTTACATTCAACATATGAAACAGTTGAGTGAGCAAAACGCAGATCACGGACGAAATACTGTCTATTCCTAGTAATCCTAGTAAAGCACCAGAAATGGCGCAGGTTTCTATGGTGAAACCTATCTCGTGCGAAGGTGATGCCGTTGTATTAAAAGGATACTGGGCTCTGATCGGTAGTCCGTTCTCCATCGGTGAGAATAATAACAGAACAACTGCCAACGTAAATGCTAACGCACTAAACCCACTGAAGATCATTCGTTGTCGTTTGTAATACTTGTCGATAAGTTTCTTAATATGTTCGACTTCTACAAAGAATATCATACGATTAATTAGCTGAAGAAGGCAGTCGGATAACTAAGCGCTGATGCTCTACCAGCGCACGAAAAAAATACAGCAATAAGTGAACAAGCCTGGATGAAATGTTGCAAAATGCAGTGATTACATGCAAGATACAGCTACGTCAAATGTGCCGTGTAATTCTGAATGAATCCTTGGTAGAGTGGATTTGACAAGGAGGAACGTCAACGAAAAAGAAAAAAGGAAAAACTGATAGAATAGGCTGTAGATGAAGTGGACCTGAACTAATGAAATCAATGAACGTCACTCACTACATCATTTGCTACGTCATTTTACATCCAAGATACGTTTCTCAGTTTGCGCTCATGTTTTCATCTAACAAGAGGCGTGCCTTTTACGCAAGGCATCGTTCGTGTTGCCCCGTCACATCGATGAATTGGAATGATAAAGTGCATTATAGCACATCGAAAAATATCTGCATTTAAATCTACTAACGCTTCATGTTTCTTTCAAATTATTGTTTGGCATTGAGTTACAATAAATATAATTTCTGATCTGATCTATTTGAAATGAATAGAGTTGGGTTTATAATAGAAAAATCGGTTGACAAAATTCTGGTAAACAAAAGTCCTATAGGACTCTTGGGCCCAAGTATTACATTGCTATGCCGACATGTTGAATATCACAAAGCATGCGCAAAGCGTTGAATGCGTATATGCATGGTGCAAGTAATTTCTTCCATCATTGTCGAGACAATCTTCGATGCTTTAGATTTTGTTTTGACAGGTATAGCTCTTTTATTTGTTTATTGGTGGATTCAACTATATTAGTATACTCGATTCACAAAATCATCGCATGCAAGAGTGTAATTCCAGATGACTGAACGATTCACATTTTGTTAGCAATTTCGAAATGGAAGTGTACTTTTTGTTGTAAGAATCAACCTTAACTACAAGAAGAAACTCTTGAAATTTGCCATGATTATGAGAGATAGTGAGAGAAGTCTAAATCATGTTTAACAAAGCGAATGTAGAATGCTTCATCCGAACCCACTAAAAGGACTCAACAGTAAAATCTATTAAATCTGTGTCTCTGTGCTATATATAGAATCTAAATATATTTATTCTAACTGAGTACTAAATGATTAGTTACGAGAAATGTTGACGAATCTTTGATGATGAGCGTAGGAGAGTCACTACATGTAAACATTAATAATGATTTTGTGTGAATGTTGACAAATGAGTGGATTATTGACTAAAATATTAACTGTTACTAATATCGGCTGAAATATTAACTAAGTTGACCGAAAAGTTATTATTATTATTTTTTTTCAAATTTAAAATTTGACTCCAAGCAGAACTTTATGAAGTTATAAAATTTCATAAATTCTTCATCGTTTTCTTTATCGTTATCTCGTAACAATTCTCTTTTCTGCTTTACATTTGTATTTTGTATCTTATCGACACTATAATATATGTATAATATATTCTACTGCTTGTCATGCTACATGTCAGACTACATTGTACATATGATACATATGTATATGAGCATAGCTAAATAATTCTTACCTAATCCAATGATATACTGACAAATTAACTGACAATTAACTGTTCGTAATATATTCGCATATGATCAAGTACAGAAACATAAAAATGGAAGAAAACTTTCCGATTAATCTCAATATTCCATTGTTCTAATTTTTCTTATATCATTCAACTTATTTCACCATACTTTTTCAGTTTTAACTAACCAATATGAAATGGAAAAAAAATTGAAAAATCTACTCATAATACACGATGAGCATTATTATCCAATAGCTATGGATGTCAATTTCGAAGGATTAATGACACGTTTCAAAGAATTAGTGACCATCGCGAAACTTTTTGTGCAATTTATCTGGATTTAATATAATGAAAATATCGTAGAGAGAATGTGTAGATGCACAAAAACTAAACGTGTGCTAATTAGTTGCTAAATTATAGTTAATGAATGCAGTTACGTTATTGAGCAGTCATCACACACAAGCGAGAGTGAGTAAAAAGATCGTATTAAATAGTGCGGTGTATAAAATTAGTTTTGTATTCTATTTTTTTGAAAACAATCCGATAAAGTTGTAACACAAAACACAACATAATGTCTAGCGTGTCATATGATAATTATATCGCGAATTTTTATGTAATTGTGGGAAATTTGAGAATGCACGCAAGTCAGTTATATAATTTAGTAAGAAATCTCTGCTTAGATCCCTTTACTAAAAATATGATTTTACATAAATACTCGCAATCTAGTAATAGCATATGTATGCTATTATGTTCTTTACAATTTTTCTTGAAAAAACGTGTGTTACTTGTACTCACCGGAAAATTCGCAGAGATTATCGATACATGTCGTCCAACAGCCTCCTTATTCCTTTTTCACGAAATTGGAAGTTCATCGCCTTGTATATGATGACGAAAATTCCAGCAAAAATACAACCGCCGTCGGTGCTTATCGACAAGTTGTCTCTGTTCACGTAAATATCCGCAAAAACAGTGATTGCGAAGATGTACATCGTTGCCAGTATCCATATTTTGTATACAAAGTAGGCACTGTTCAAAAACGCCGAGCTTCCTGAATCAATGCTTCCAAAACCACTATACCTATGAACAAAAAGCGTGCACTTGTTAACGTAGGTATATCACCTCGTAAAAAATGACAACTGATAAATTTCCTATATGTAATTCTAATATCCTTCATAACAGTTATACCGTTCGAGAAATCGTATACACGAATGACAAATTTACTACCACGATTCTCACTTCAAATAGCTAATCTGAATATTGATCAATTTTCGATACGATTTCATCCATTTGTGGCCGTGTTGTTGGGCCATCTCGACGTTATAAGTTGTCTCTCTACCACTTGAAGGATAAAAATGTTTTCTCGTTGGCAAAGTCACCAAGTCGTCCCTATCGTACGAGTACAATTCGTTGCATAGTACTTTAACTCTAGCGCGTTATGACGGGTTATTTTCAATCAATCTGACACGGTGCCTCTTGAGGAAATTGCGGCCGATTTTCGGAATTACAGACTCGATCGTGGTGCACGTGTCAGGTCCCCCAAGTCACTTCCGCGAATGTCGATCAAAGTGGCAGTAATTGCGTATCAATAGGCGGGCAGAAGCACGTTTCACTATGTATTTGCACGAAAGAATAGTGTAGAGCAAAGAGTTGCAGTGCAACAATTGCATCATGTATTATGACCGAAACAGCCACGGTCATGGTAGTTAATGTATTCTTGCTCCGATAACGTCAAGCAAAAGTGATATTGTCAACCTTTTTGAAGTAAAAGAACCGAGTGGATAATATTGTATATACGTTTTCTGTTTCGAATCCATTACGAGCCAATAATAATTTTAAAAACTAATAAAACGAATATAATAATAGAAATAAATAATATGTATAAGGTGCGTCACGTTGAATGAAACAAAATTTTTCAAAAGTGTTGAGAACGATGCATAAAAAAAATGCAAATGTACTTTTTCTTTAAAAAATGAAATTACACATTTATTTTTGCTTATATTAATTTGTCGGAATATTGTGCGTAAAAGGTATTAAGGTACAATTTTTGATAAGTGGAATGTTTCGTGAAGGACATTCCACGCTATTTATTGTAAGATCTGTCAACGATCAACAACATTCGATTGTTTGAATACAGAAATATTTATGATCAACAAAATTTTATTAGTTACTGACGATCTATCGTCACGGCAAGTTAAATTTTCATACAGAAACCGAAAGCAGAAAATGATATCATTTACTAATAGTGAAAAGGTTTATATGTTTTCTTGTTTTATGTTTTGCAACAAAAATTCTGTGAATGCTACTAATTGTAAGATATATATTGTACGTACAGTAATACGATCGAAGACAATCAACAGTATGTACTTCCATAAGTTTGAACATAATTTACGAGAATATAAAGCATTCTTAAAACCGTACAATAAGAGAGATATATTAAAACCGATTACAAATAACGATGTACGTCGATTTTAATCCACAAGCTTCAATAAGACAAAGAATATCATCAAACTTTCGTGAATATTGTTTCTTCCAGGGCACACTTTATTTCTAGAAGATAACGCATGTGATTTGTCAATTTTTTTAAAGTAGAAAATGTACCAAATTTTCTTTGAAAAATTTATAACTAAATACATTTTGGGATTAATTTGGTTATGAAAAATATAAAGAAACTATATATGAAGTACACATAATGCGAAACATTCAAACATTATAAGATATGCAAGCAAACAATTTATTAAAAAATATCTCGCAAAATATTGAGTTTTTAAATATTGTATCCTAAATAACCTAAGACCATTTTACGCAGAATGTTCCGACAAAGTGATATGAAAAAATAAATATGCAATTCTATTCTGAAAAAAGTGCATTTACATTTTTTGGATGCATTGCTGCACTCGTGAAAAATATAAAATCGTAAAAATATAGGCATTACTATTTCTCAACCTTTTTTTTTCGTTTCTTATCAACTATATTTTGTACAAAATGGAAAAAAAACAAATTCCGGTACCGGGAATCGAACCCGAGCCTCCTGGGTGAGAGCCAGGTATCCTAGCCACTAGACCATACCGGATTTTCCGAATAAATTTGTTTATTACTAGGATATCTAGTAATTATTTGTATAACAATTTTATATGTACATGTAAGAAAATCGTCGAATGATATTATGGATGATGAAAAGATAGCTAGATAGTTTAATAATCATAGTTTAATAATCACTTCGTATATTCTCACGTTGATTCATTATATTCACTAGAATGATTATTGAAAAAAAATTTTGTTCTCATCGTTAGTCAGTGTGTCATTTTAAAAATAATAAATAATAAATTACGTTTTCCTTTCAGGAAGCGGAGATGTGTGGATAAGATGGTCTATATTTATCTTTCGTTTTTTTTCTTAGAATTTTCTGTCATATAATTTTGTTATGTGTTTAGTGTGCTATATGTAGTGAATGCTAATTATTTAAATTATGGATGACTTACAATTAGATAATCTTTTGAACATGTAAAACTCGAGGTTTGTATACAACTTTTTTCTATAGATGTTATGATTCTTTTAATTTTCGAGGTATGTTTTAAGATAACAAATATTTTTCACACTATTAAAAACTAATTTTTTAAAAAAATAATTTTACAATATTTCATCTAATTCGTGATTTAAAATATATTATCTAAAAGGACACTGCAACGTACGTACATCATCCTAAAACGATAATAATTACGAATTTTGTAACAATTAATTATTTTGTTTCGCTGTTTGTTTGTACAATAATCTATGGACGATTAACATATTATTTATTTACTTTTATTGAATAAAAAAAAATTATCATTTCATATTGAGAATCGAACTTGAGATATTCTATGATGAGAGAGTTTGGAAAATAATCTTATAAAAAGTTGAAATATCTGTTATTTTTTTGTCTTGAAAGTTTGTCGAAAATATAAAAAAAATTTGTCAGGAGTGGGATTCGAACCCACGCCTCCAGAGGAGACCAGAAGACACATTAGAATCAGATATTTGGAAACTGATAAGGTAAAGAACCTTGAGTCTGGCGCCTTAGACCGCTCGGCCATCCTGACACATGCTAGCATTTTCTTACAAATTACAAAAACCGATTTCCGTCTAGGTTATGTTTATGTTTATATACATAGTTGTAAATTATTATAGAAATATATTAAAATAATATCGTAATAACATTAAATAATATTATAATATCAGATATTGTAATATTTCCTGATAAATATGTATAAAAAAATAAAATGGTTTCATTTTTAAATATTTACATAATAAATTCGAATTTAATGAAATATAATATGTAACAGGCATGTATTATAATATTTACATTGCCATATTTTTTAATGTGTATATGAAAAACATTAATTTATAGAATAAAGATTAAAATATTAAAAAAAGCGAAAAAGTTAATCTTTGATATAATAATAATATAATAATATGATAACAAATTTTTTCAATAAAAATATCAATAAAAAAATAAAAAATAACCACCGCATGTTTCCGCCCGGGATCGAACCGGGGACCTTGTGCGTGTGAAGCACACGTGATAACCACTACACTACGGAAACCACAGTTTGTATGATTTTATCAATATTTCATATTTTGTAAACAATTTATTCAAGACGAATTTTTAAATTCAATTTTGATTAATAAATTTATGCAACATATTGCATATGTCAAGTCATTTACTTTACGGTTCACAAATTGTGAATGTAAAATAATGCTGCGTCGCAACTATGCATTTTAAGTACGCTTGATCGATTTTATGAGATGTTACAGATAGATACTTCGACACGGTGTGAATTCAAAGATTCTTTCTCAGACTATAAAATTTGTTTAGTTTCTTTCTTCTCTGAATTCACATCGTATAGCTTAATCATAAAATAAGGAACACATTTCATTTTCAATAGTCGATTATTTATTCACTGCATTCATTTTGTGAAAGTGTAAAGGATATTAATCCTTTTGGCCCTTATAATTACTTGCATATATCTTTATGGAAACTTCGTGATTTTATAACGTATTAGAAACAAATTATTCATTGATATTTTCGTAGAGGCCCAAAGGGCTGAATGTTGTATTTAATTATCAATATATTTACAAAATTTCAATAAATAATGTATTGGAAGTCAATGAGTGTAATCTTATATAAATTATTTAGTATCATGTCTATTTTTACACTATTAAGTGTGAAATGCATTTATCGATATTATAATAAACGAAACTACTAACATTACATAAAATGATGTAGTGTCAAATATTTATGCTATATTTAATACAATAAGTATTGTAATTTTTATTAATAATTCGGATTTTATTTTTTTAAGAACATAAATACTATTGTATTTATCATATTTAAATGCAATACTTATCTTCTTTATTGAGATCTGGGAAACATGCAAATGCTATTTTGATTGAAGTTCAATATCCTTGATTTAATGAGTATGCCATAACTTGAATTTATTTTATGATTATATAATGAATATTGATTACTAATTGAACGAGGGGAAGATTAAGAAAACATGCAAACTATACGCATGAAATTATGCGCATTCACTGTCTTATTTTGATTAAGTTATTGATATTGTGGAATTTTCTTTTTAAAAATCTGTAAATGATTATTCGTGATATAAAATACAAATATTTGAGTGCATTTTTAAATGATAAAAAATATATGTTTAAAAAAGTTGTATGTTCAATTAAGTTACATAATAGCTAAATACTGTACAAAAGATAAACAACATTGAGTAAGAAATAAATGCTAACCGTGAAAGAATATAGAAAGAACTATTTTTCTTAGAAAAATTCATTTCTTTTTTTTATCGCAGTCGGTAGTTTTTTGTATTATCAATTTATTCCGCTGCCTAGTTACTTTGGTTGTCGGTCGACTATTCGGTGCAATTTGTTTTAAATCTTGCTGCGACATCTTTGCTGGACTAGCTGCACGTGGCGGTGTTGCAACTTTCAAAAGAGCTTCGACATCCGCTAATCGTTTCCTCAAAGCTCTATTTTCACGCTTATATTTCGCAAGTTCAGAATCTTTATCCAGTCTTTCATGACCGGAACTACTAGTTTCTTCCGCAAAATGTCTGAACATGAGGTGCAATTTCTCCTCGTGTTCTCTTTGCATAAGGACTATTCTTCTCTCTGCTTCTAATTTGGTCTGTTTTAGGGCATTTGTCAATGTCTGTATCTGCCATTCTTGAGTCTCTATATGACTTTCTAATTCAGCTGTTTGAACTTCCAGATTTTTTGAACTTTCTTTTAAATCAATTACTTTTAAAAAATACTTATAGAATAATGTCCTCATTTCGCCGTCTGAGAGTTTTGATAATCTTTCCATTAACATTCTTTCCCCTTTCTCACGTTGCGATTGATTTTCATCGAATCCCTTTCGTCCACAGATCATCTCATTTTTATGTTCAATCATAGCATCAATCGCCTCAATAGTTTCTCCACATTCTAATAATTTTCGCTCTTCTACAGTAGATAATGTTTTCTCCTTTTGGAACTTTTCATCTAGATCGCATTTTTCATCTACCAAACAATCTCGAGTGCGTCTCAAGTTTCGAATTTCATGACGCAGAGCTTCTTTTTCGTCTATGTCTGCTGTTCTCTCCAAATCCATGGACTTTTCTTTTAAAACGTGATCAAGATGTGATATTCTTGCACTTACATCTAGTAAATTTTTTTTCTTATCAGAGTAATCGGTTTTTGATTTACTATTATTTTTTTCATCCTCACTTTCTGACTGCATCTCTTTCAGTTTAGAAGCAGTTAAATTATACTTCTCCTCAAGATCACGAATCTTTTTCTGATCCTCTGCTAATTCCTCTTCTAATTGTTTTTTACGTTCCTCCTCTTTTTTCAATTGTTTTTTCAATTTCTCCATTTGTTTTTTAGAAGTGTTTAAAGAACTCTCAAGTTCTAACACTTTCTTAGCAGAATCCCCTGCAATTTGTTTTATCATTTCAATATCCATTAATCTTTTCTCATAATGGATAGCCATGTTTTTATATAATTCAATTTCCTTTTTGTGTACAGATTTTTCTTCTAAATCTTTATAGATGGAAGCGTTTTCCGCTTGAGCCAATTGACTTCTTGTATTATAGTATTCTTCTTCTAATTTACTCCATTTGCGCTGAAATTTTTGTTTTGCGCTAGCACGTGCATCTGAATTTTTTATCATATCTGCAATGAATTTTTCTTTGATTTTAATAGTCATTTGTAGCTCTTCTATACGTTTGTGAGCTCCATCTAAATCTGATTGAATCTTTTTCACTTGAGTCTGTTTTGCTTCATTATTTAATGTCAAAGTTTTCAGTTCTTTTATAGGTTCTGGTACTTCTGTTGTTTTCAATGCATCAATTAATAAATCTGGTGAATTGTCATTATGAACTGCAATGTTTTCATTGATGATTGTTTCAGGCTTACGATTGTCTAAGGTTTTTATACTAGTAAACGTTAATGTTTTATTATCTAACATTTGATTTTGGTTAGGTTTGAGGCTGTCGTTAAAGGCTAATACTTCATTACACATTTCAGAACCAGGAAGCATTGAATTCCTCCTGGAATTTGGATTTCTAAGCGGAATAGGTTTAGCTATAGGGACATAATTATTGTTACTATTTATAGATTTTGTTATGGATGGCATAATCTTTATATTTGTTTCTCTGAATTCATCTCTTTTAGAATCTACTATTTTATCCGTTTCTATCTTAAGTTTATTCATACATTCATCTAGTTTTTCTAAAAAATCTGGATTTTCTGAACTAACATCACTGTGCTCTTCCTCCTCTTCATCATCGTCATCATTAGTTTCAGATAATTCGCTCTCTGAACAAGATGAACAATTTATATCGATCTTTCTTTCCATTTGATGAATAGATTCGTCTGTTTTTTCATCAGTTTCAGTTACTTCTTCTATTCTTTCCAATGATCTTCTTGCATTTTCAGTGTAACCATGCAAGCTACCATTATCATCACTACCAATGCATTCTTCATATTCTTGTTTCATACAGAGCCATTGTTCAATTTGATCTTGTTCTGTATGAGGTAAAATATTACTTGTCATAAGCTTAGTAAAAAGGCCTTCTGCATTTGAGACTAGTTTAGACCATTGAGCTGCTGCAAATTCTAATCTGAATATATCAGCACTAGAACTTCGCTCTCCTGATGTAGCGGAAGTCATAGTATCATGAGTTTCATCTCCAGTTTGTTCACTCTCTTCTTCTGTAATATGCTGTTGCTCATGATTATTATGTGAATAGGATGGCGCAGCAGTCATATATGGTGTATAACACTGATGATTATCCAACATCGCTTGATGATGGATCCAAGGTGTATAATGCATCATTTTGGAAATTTTATATTAATATAACATAATACTATAGTATTATTCTCTTACATAAGTAAATGTTTTACACTTTTGCATTACCATTTTGTTTTAAAATATCATTCTTTTTTTGTTTGAAACATTCAAGTTTCAAATTTTTAATGTTTCTAACCTATTTGAAACTTCTCATGTTCTAAAATTATGCTTAAAATTCTATTATTGCTACATTTTCCTACATTGTAAATAATATACAAAATTTAGCTGGACATACTCAAACACACCTGACAGAATATTTTTTACAGTTCTGTATTCAATAAGTAACAGAAGTGTCTAGCAGAAACTGTTGCCAACTTATGATTAATACATAAAAAAAATGTATTTAGAGTGATATATATATTTATATATCATTGATATATTGATGTTAAAGCTTATTATGTAGCGTTAGTACATAAGTATAGAAAATAAAAAGTATGAAAATTGTTTCATTAAATAAGTAACGAATTCTCAAAAATTAGTTCTACGATCGTATAATAACGGTAAGATAGTTTAAGTTCTAAATTTTTAAAAGATACACTATCTATTAATATTAATACTAATATTAATATATATAATATTAAAAAATTAATAAATATTAATGTTATTAAACGTAAAATTAATATGAATCTTTTTGAATTAGTAGGCATTGGTAGCCCTGTTAGTAGAATTCAACTGCGTTTAATTTGAGGTATCGAAATATTATTATATTAATTTATTATAAATAATTATTATAAATTTATAGTTTTACTTACAAAAAATGTGAAGGCTAAGGCTTGAGTCCTACTTTATCATTTTGTCCTTTTTAATGAATATGTTACACTTTTATACACATTTTGTACAACACGATATTCGACGTTAACTAACGCGGCAAAAGTCCGTATTATACTGCGGGATGAAAAGAATCAAATGAGTGTTTAATGTCAAATACCTACTTTTCTAATATTTTCATAATATATGTACAAAAATCTTCTTGATTTATAAAATTAATTAATATTTAATAAGAATAATGAAGCTTTAATGAAATAGTTAAATTTTATTTAGAATTATTTGTATACAGAAATAATTTGAACATTCCGCGCCATTTTCTTTAGTTTTAACGGCAAAAGTCCGTATTGTACGCAGCATGAAATGAATCAAATGAATATTTAATACCAAATATCTAATTTTCTAATATTTTCATGATATATGTACAAAAATCTTCTTGGTTTATAAAATTAATAAATATTTCATAAAAATAATAAAGCTTTAATAAAAATAGTTAAATTTTATTTAGAATTATTTGTATACAAAAATAATTTGAATGTTTCGCGCCATTTTCTTCGGTTTTACTTCCGGAATGATACAAGTACGTTGATTGGTTGCTGGAAAAACTTGCAATAGAGTCTTGTTAGTCGTTTCTGCTGTGGTATTGAGATTGGTTTTATTAAGTGTTGTGTGTTTTTCTACATTTCTTTTATAAATGTGCATAAAAGAAATTTGATATAATGGTACAAGATAGATAAATATTGAATAGTATGAGACATATATTGCTTTTACAGCACATACAAACCACTTATACTCTAAAGTGTTCAACTATAACCTCTCTCTAACGGGAGACATCTAAGTGACTACGAAATCATAAGATTTGAATTTTGGTAAGAATACTATTTTATTACGTTTGTTTAACTTTTTTTTGTACATGAGTTATTTTTTATTGCGTATAATTGTAATTAGAATGTATTGTAGTTGATTGAAACAGCCTTGTCACAATTGGATAACTGGTGAAAGGAGTTACTACATCAATACATTAAATTTTTACGTCATGTGCATATTTACACATCTACGTAAACTGACAAAGAATGTTTATTTAAGTCTCGAGCTATTTTACATTGTATAATTAGAGGCTTGGATGACCAAGTCTTTACGTAACAAAAAAATTATTTTTCAAAAGATATAAATTTCTCCAAATAATTCAATTATATATTTTTTGATTTTCTATAAAATTGGCAAAATCTAGGGCAAACATTATAAGTAACAGTAGTAGTATCATTATTCTTGACTTTACAATATGTATATATTCATTATTTCCTCGAAAAGGACGTGACACAGGACAAATTTTGTACGATTATTACGTATTCTGTTTGCATCAGACTAAATGCTTAATTTTGCGATGACGTTCAATTCATAATAATAATAATAGTAATTTTAGTAAATTAGCGTTTTTATCGTATCGAAATTCATTTATTCGAGTTACGTTCCGATAATGTAATCCAGCTTTGAAGCGATGTAATACCTGGCGGAACATGAATGTATACCAGGCCTTAATTTCTTAGTCACGGCTTCACAAACGAGCCTATTTCGCACTGTCTCTATTACTTAACATCCGTCCAACTTTCTATTCGCACTTTCGCGCTCATTTGTTCACGCTCGTCTGCGTTGAATGCAATTACGCCCACATTCGATGCCAATTATTTTTTGTTGTGAATTAAGGCTAACACCGGCTTGAAACACGATTGGACTATATATCTAGTATAAATTGCGTTCATGTTCATTATTATGATTATTGTAATTAATTAATGATACTTATAAAGTATTTAAATGGTGTTTTAGAAGAGATGGAAAAAAATAAGGGTTTCGCCAGTGGAAGTACTCAACCATCAGCCCCACCACCATCAGCACCTCCATCATATGAGGAGGCTGTTGAAAATGCAGCTGGCATATCTCGACAACCAAATATTCCACCATATCCAGTAGGACCATCTTCTATGCCAATCCCAACTCGTACGTATTATTAGCTTTTTAAAACATTTGCAATGCTTTTGTAGCTTTAACACATTTGCATTTGCAATGATTGCAATGCTACGTAATCACTCGTGTTTATTTTCTCAATAGAATCTTAGTCATAAATTATCAGCTGTCTAAACATGTATTAGAATGTTATAATAAAAATAAAATATTTCATAAAATATTTTGAATAATGACTACATGAAATTGTAAAACAAAAGTATGCTATTCAGCAAATAATAATTTGTTTAACATAGTTTTTACATTAAAAATTAAATGTCATAATATATAAAATGTTATTATGTATATTAAAATAATGTATCATATTATCATGTCAATGATAATGTATCATATTATCATGTCAATGATAATGTATCATATCAATGATTCTTAGGCCATAATAGTTAATGTGTTAATAGTGGAAACATGGAAATATTTGATGGCATATTATATGAATAGGTTGATTGATATTTTAGATACTCAGTCGCCGAATCAGACAACGGTGCCATATCCACCGAATTATTCAGGGCCCAGCGAACCACCATCGCAACCACAAACGCAGTATAGTGCAAATCCAAATACAGCTGCTCCACCAGAGTTCCGAGTTGTTTATCAGCCAGTAATTTATTCTTTGAGCCCAAATCCAACAAAAACGACCTGCCCGACGTGTCACACCAGCATTAAAACCACTACGATATCAGATCATCAACCAAGCGCTCATCTATGCTGTATCGTGCTCTGCTTACTTGGGTAAGTGTATTTAAAGTATTTGCTTCGTTGTTTGTGCTAAGGAAATTAATGCTTGTTCTAAATTAATTTTAACTTTTAAACTAATGTATTTCTTGATTAACGTTCTGTCACGATGATTTTAATGAAAATCCGATTTCTTATTTGGGCTGTACGTTTTATGTCACGAACAGTTGCAATCATTCAATAATTTCATTTGTCGCAATCGGTTTAGTAGGTCATGTATGTATATATGTCTCTTTTTATTGTCGGTCTTGGTTTTGTTTGCTGTTTCCTGTCTTGTGATTGCTCAACTTTCAAGGACACTGCTTTGTGAATATTTGGTTTCGCTTACGATTATGCAGATTTCTGATTGAATTCACTCTGCCAGTGGAATACTTATTTTGTCTATACATTAGCATGTACGTTTTGCATGCTAAGGACGAGGTTCTTGTTTGTGTCTGGAATGTGCTGGCTTCATGTTGGTGTATGTGTCTGTCTGATAGATCATAGAAAATCAATTTTGACCAATGCCTTTTCAAATTTCAGATGTTGCCTTTGCTCATGTCTGCCATATTGTATGAGCAACTTCATGAGTGTCCATCACTTTTGTCCGAAATGTAAAAATTATATTGGTACGTGGAAGGGTTGAGCTAAGCCTGCTGACACATATACTTGTATATTGTTATGCGGTCTTTTATGTAATCGTACACAGTGTAATGTTATGGGGAATAAGCAGCTTCCCTGCTTGTCGCATTTTGCGTTAAAAGAAAGAGCTATTCGACGAGATTGTCATAGATCATATTTCAAGACAACTATATATGTGATGCTTATTCCTTGCGAGGTAAGATATGAATGCAATCTGTTGCGTGTGAATAGTTTCGAACACTTGTAGATTCCATGTTGATTTATATGTGAAACGATGTGATCGAGTGCGTATGTGTGCTGATATAGATAGTATGCAATAATATTATAAAGATATTTTCGAGCATTGAACCTGTGAGCAGTATTGTTCTCACTTACGTTTGTCATATTCCATATAGTCTTAGAAAGATCTTTTTAGGAAGAAAGAAAGAGAAGGTAAAAAATTCGTCTGAAACGCAGGAAAGTCCTTCTCTTGCTTATTTCAATATGTTTCATTAGTGAGTAAGAAAGAAGAGAACGATTAGTTGAGACTGAGTATAGAATGAAGGTTGTTCCATCTCCTGTTTGCAACAATATTCGGATATTCATATACTTGTATTTTATTGGTGCTTCCGGAACTTTAAGTGAAACGAATTCCTGCATTATATATTACATATATAATATATATAAATTATTGGCTAAACTTCGTCGGATACCATTTTTAAAACAATTTTTTTTGCATAAGCTGATAGTAATTGATAAATATAACCGATAAACATAATGATTTTCAGTTGTGTTAGAATTTACACTGGTTCAAAAATTATGCTTTATTAAAGTATTTAATGTAGTGATAAAGTAAATTTTATTATTTATTAAAATACATAATGAATAAATAAATAAATAAATTGTTTGCTAAATTTCGCTTCGTTGATCTTTAAAATAATATAAAAATATGAATTGATTTGTGAAACATTTTTAGTTGTCTCCCGGCGGCCGAGAAAATATAACATAGCCAGTACTAATTCAACATACTTCTTAATTTTTTAATAAATTAGGTACTTGATCAACAGAGCCTGAAACACGATCTGTCTCCAGTGCATGAGATACTGTCTACTTACGCATCGGTATGCATAAACCGAGGAAAACTTTGAAGAGATCGCGTTCAGTATTTCAAATTGACGAAACTTTAACAATGCATAATTAAAACAAAGGATTCTGACGCTCATAATCTAATATTTCGTTTCTATTCATTGAATATCAGAATATGCAAAGAATAAGTTAAAAAAAGAAATAATGCCCGAAAACGAAGTTTAGCCAAACTATCATATGAAAGGTGATATTTTTATGCAGATTGCAGAAGGATTTGCATATTGTACGAAAAGTATCCGAATTACATTAGTATAAAACGAAAGAAATTCCACTTGCGTGTTTCCGTTTTCTAGTTTTTTTGTTTAAATAATTTATACCGAATATCAACTGGTAAAAAAGACTTTTTCGGAGAAAAAGACTTTCGTGAAGAGGGAAGTTTTGAATAAAAGGAATGAATGATCTTGTGAATATCCTCGAACATTCAACAATATTTTGTGGAGAGAATATTTAATAAAAAAAGTCCAAGTCGTGTTCCGTTTAATATTCCACGTGTTTAAGGTAACGACTCAAGCATTTCTATGATTCCATTTGTATGTACAACGATTTTGTTTGTTTTTTAAATATATTATATCCATGTCTTCTGAGCTGATTACGTACTATTTCATTGCAAATAACGTCGTTGCGTTAATTGAGTTATACGTGTGATTTACACGACCAATTTTTTAGAGTTACAACGTATAATATATGTATTTTAATATATGACATTTTTCTTGTACGTGTTTGACATAATAAATTATACTTTGGTTTTCAAGTATATACGTTACATAAGATCAATGTGTAAATGCGATCGAGTTTTATCTGATTGTAAGTAAAAATATGACAGAGTTCAGTCACGTAGTCATGAATAAACGATAAAATGCTTTGTAATTGTCGTTTATTTAATTTTTATAGGCATACAAGATATCGAACGAGCTCGAGAGTATACATATATATATATATGTATTTCGTTTTTAATGAAAAAGGTTAATTTATATTTTAGTAATTGGAAAAATTTACGCATACTACATAATAACTTTCTTCATTGCTTCTCGGAAAGACGTCGAATTGGAGAAGAAAATGTTTCTTCTTACGCATAGCTAGACTTTGCCTGGCAATTAATATTCCGTTTCATACGTTCTACATATAATCGACATTACAAAATTTCTCTACAAGTAATACAGTGTTGTTTTAGTGATAATAACACATTTGCTGTTGTTCAACAGCACTTATTCATTATGTGCACGTACTATATACTATCAAGTACAAATTGAACATACTTTTGGACAGTTGTGATGCTATTGAAAAAATTTTATAATGAAAAGGACAATGAAGCCGAGGGTGTCGACTCGTTGGAACAAATACCTCCAGTCAAGGAAAAATTCAGAAGCAAAATTCTTCAATCGACGTTATAGCACGACGAATCCCTCGTGTTATAAAACTATTCGAAATCAGCACCCCGGCTTCCTGTTCTTTCTAAAAAGTTCTACACGATGGTTTGTAACAAATCACCAGGAGGAGGAAGTTGTTGTTGAGCCACAAAGGAATACACCGTGTCGATTGGTTTGGTGTTGTCACGAAGTGCTGGAGCTTCGCAAAGAATGATGAACGTGCCAACGATTGAAGCTATTGTAAAGATCCACAGGAAAAATCTATCGAGAACCATCGCAACGAAACCCCAATCCTGATCCTCCTGTGGTATGAAGAAAAATTATAAAATTAAAAATCTTTATTCGGTGCTCTCTTTTATTTAGGGCTTGGAGCACCATACGTACCGCGTTAAACTCGTCTTGCCGCTGTATGTGATGCTGAATGAACATCACGTTATGTAAAGCTTTTTCAAGCTCGAAGGGATACTTCTTTCTGGGTGTTACATCGCTTAAAGATTCGTCTAATCCAGACATCACTGTGGGAAGTCCATTGTATCCACCGATACCTCCGAGGAATCTATTATGCGCAGTCGTGTGCAGTCCATTGCATCCTGAAAAGAACCGCCCTTTCACGCCTGTTTTCTTTCTACTCTTTACTCCGTTGAAGGCCAAGCAATCAAATAATACCAAAAACATGTGCAAATGCTAGAATATAATACAATAATACAACTAAATAATAAATGCTTAATCGAAAGCGTAAGAGCTTAAATTTCCATGACTTGAACAAACAAAAGTTTTTATAATGCTACAAATCAATGAATTGAATGATATACTCACATCACAAAAATTCGTTCTATATGTCAGACATATTTTTTTGATGTTGTATAATTTTTTAATTATAAATGTAGCTATAAATCAGCTACAAATATTTTAATTTTGTCAAAATTCTGCATGACACGATACGACAAAAGAAGAAATAATAGAAGGAATAAACAAATCAGAGTTCTCGTTTCACAATCACAATGTTAAAAAAAAAAAAAAAAAAAAAAAAAAAAAACAGTTTAATAGTGTAAACTGACTGTATCTGACTAAATGAAAGAAGAATACAAGTGAAATGTGGAGTTAACGAAGTTAAAAGAATAAAAGATTTACAGTATTTACCACCGATTCGTTGATGTCGAGCGGAATCCGGCGAGGAGACTATCGAAGAGGATTGCATGGCAGCGGCGACCGCAGCGTTGAATTTGCTCTTTTTACCGGATCTCCCTCTGCCGTGTATCTTGTGCGCGGCGAGATCGTTGAGAAGATCGTCGGGCACTCTCATTAAAAGGAGTTTCGGTAATCTCCTTATGAAGATCTTTCTAATCCACGGCGCCATTTTATGAGTGCTCGGCTTGCGGTAGTGAACATTCAGTATAATGATGGTAATAACTACCGAGAGACCGACTAAAATCATAGTGAAGAGCAAGTATTTGCCTAGCAGCGGGAGTGCTAGCGACGTGGATGGTATGATCTCTGATATCAAGAGGAAAAACATCGTCTGCGACAGGAGAATGTTAATGCAGAGGGCGATCTTCTCGCCAGAGTCGGCCGGCAAATAGAACGCGAGCACCGACAAGTAAGAGATGCTCACGCACGGCACGATCAGATTCACCGTATAGAACAGCGTTTTTCGACGTAGAGTGATGTTAAAGAATATGTCCGGATACGGTTCCTCGCAGCAGGGATAATACTTCTTGTGTCGTTCCGCCGGGACTCCCAGTATATCCCATTCGACGCTGGGGTAGTATTCGCGGAGATCGATACCAACTTCGACTTTGTCTCCCATGTTTTGATTAATGTGTTTCAAGTCGATCTGTTTCGTAGTATATCAAAGAATCATGTCAGGGAATCATCGAGCTGTAGCTGTTGCAACTGCACCTTTCGTGTAGAAATTACCTGAATACCGTCGTACGTCCACGAGCCGAATTTCATGAAGCAGGTTTGTTGGTCGAATGGAAAGTATCGGACGTCTATCTCGCAGGAAGATTTGAAAATCGCCGGAGGTGTCCAAAGGACCTTGCCAGTGTAATGCAGAATAGCTTTCGTCATCGTGGTCACACCGTATTCCCCGTCCGCGCTGGAACCGATCGTGTTTTTAATGTTTATCTCGCCAGGGATTTTTATTTCGTTAATGTAAAAGGTTTGGGGTTCATCTGACGTACTTGTTGTAAAGTACAATGTCGGGAAGCCATATGTGTTCGCTAGGTACGTAGAGTTCAGTGACACCTCCGTACTCTGCTGGATCCCACATAAATTTGTGGTCCTGCCATTCCTGAGCGAAGTTTGTCTTTATTAAGCGATGTACATAGTTGGCGAACTGTTGTCTAAACTATTCGAAACTTACGTGCTCGAGCCAAACGTTCGTCGTGAGAATTTGATCCTTCAAATTCTGCAAATTTTCAATATTATTGCGTTACTATAAAATCGCACTTGGTCAATAGTTGCCGATGTTTGATCTACGTTCATTTTTTTCTTTTTCTTTTTTTTTTTCTTTTTTTTCTTAACAATGAAATCAGCTATATGAAAGGATCACGTACGAGATCAATGAGTTGGGACAGACGAAGTCCTAGTTTAACGATTACGGTGTCATTGTTATTAGAAACGGGGCGAATCAGTCGATTGTAATTTGACAGCAAATCGTCGTACAGTCTCTTTGCATCGGGATTGCTGTAGCATATCCTTGCGGAGAGGATCAAGATGATTGCCTGCAGTATCATTTCGAGTAATTGTTGACTTGGCTAGTTTCAGTATTCGAGTCCAATTTGCATCCTGTTTGTTACATGAAAGTTTCAAACGATTATAATCCGGGAATTGATCGTGCGACAACAGCTCAACTCAAACTCACGTTTTGCTAGTAATATAAATTTAATTCATCATTCAGATTATACATGTACACAATCGGCATTCGCTAGTTTATGCACGCTTCGCTATTCCACGGTATTGCGAACCTGTTGCGTTAACTTGTTTGTATTAACTTTTTACTCGTCTACGAGTGTTTTAAAAATTAGACGTGTTGCTTCTCGCGTCAACAGCCTGATATTTTTGCAGTATTTATACGATCGCGTATTTTCCTTGAAATACTCGGGTGCGAAAGCGTTTTCAAAACTACACTGTGACGCGAGTAATTTTAAAAACACGCATTCTCAAATATATATACGAGAAACAATTCATCTATTAATTTAACAACAAAGAAAGTCTCGAAAACAAACGAACCCGTAGAAACGATCGATCGACGTGTGAAAATCGATGGTACCCTATCGTCTACCAATGTTTACGAGAAAGTTGGATGAAAAGTTACATACTCGGGATCCTTGTTCGCCTTAGTCTTCTCGAGCACTCCCCTCAAGAGATTTTTCGATCTCGTGGTCGTTTCGCGATAATATCATCATCTAGCGAGGACGTTTCGGGTTGCCACGAGAGCGCGATGACCGGCGATCGGGAACGCGACGATCCACCGATCGGTCTCGCATTACTGACGCGTTTTGCTTCGCGACGAGCGACGAGCGCAGAGCAGAAATGATATTCGGTACAGCCAATGGACCACTGGATGATGTTACGCGCATCTCGAGAGATTTTCCAGGATCAATACACCATTGCGCATGCACCGGCGTGACCGTGGGTGGCTGCGCGTTTTCACCGGCACCTCATGGCGCAGGTTCTGTTCGTTGCACTCGTCGACACGACAGTAGAAAAAGAGGCGCACGTCCGCCTGTTCTGCACCGATCTCTCCGCCTCCTCGATGCTCTTGCACCCTTTCCCATCGCTCCCTCTTCGTTCCGTTCGCTTCGAAAAATTTTCCCACTTTTCTTGCGCCCGTTTCCACCAGCCGTTCACGTTCACGGGTCAATCGGTAAATAATTCCCTCGCGGGGAATCAGCGTTATCAATCTTCGAAGCGGTTCTTCGAACACCAGCGGGGAGGAAGGTCGGGTTTTTTTTTGCCACGAAACATGTAATTCGTCGCAAGCACGTTATTAAAACGGCAGTTTAGCCTCTGAAAGTCTGTTAGCGGACTGAACGACAGAATGGAATTGACCTGGTATCCGTCGCTCGTCGATGAGCCTAAGAAAAAATCCTTTCTGGGTTTCCCGGTCTACTTAATCTACCTAACGAATATCGGCTAGATGAACGATGGAAAAATGAATTTGCGATTCGGCTGAAGTGATGTTTGAAAAGTTTCCAATAGTATTTTTAGTCATTTTTATCGATCTGTTTTTTTTTTCTTCTTTTTTCAATAATACTCGCTTGTCGCAAGAACGACTCAACGTTCGTAATACTTTTAGTCGTTATTTTAACGTCTTACGGTCGTGTTTACGGAAGAACCAGGGTAGAAGTTAATTTTTTAAATTTAGTTCCACGGGCAAATTTAATTTCTTGTTACCGGCTGTTCTTCTAACGCCCGCGCATATAATGACAAATGGGATTATTTTTCCGGGTTTCGTTGCTGTGAAGCACTAGCAAGCAAGCAAGCGTGCTAGGGCACCACTTTCGTGCGGCAGAAACGGGGCTAACTGCCCTCGTCTCTTCGTACGGATGCACGCGCATGCTAATGCATTTTACAGAGTTCGTCCTTAAGCACTCTTTCTCTTCTTTTTTTTTTTTTTAAATATGGACAAGGCAGCGAGATGCTCCGGTCGCTCGAAGATCAAGTATTTCACGTATGTGGCTGCCTCGACGCGAAATTCGCAGCGTGAATACCGTTTTTTTAAAAAATACAGTCACGTTCAACGTCGTTCAACCCGAGTAAAAACTGCTGCGGGCTTTTAAAAAAAAACGGCGATGAACATTTTTCCCCGTTAACGAGAATCAATTTTCCGCGAAAAAGAGAGAGAGAGAAGCGCGTCGGCAAACACGCGTGGCTGGCGTTACATCAAAACCCTTTTATTTTTCTTCGTCGAGTGCACGTTTCGCGTTTCGTCTGAGTCGCGTCGAACAGTCGAAACGTGGTCGCGGGTTTATGACAATTCGTTAAAGCAAGGGGCGAGGGAAAGTGGGGGGCAGAGGGCACTTGCATCGATCGAGGCCACTTCCTCTTGGCAGACAGAAACGAGCCATTACACGTTCGTACGTTAGAACGTTTTATCTTTACACGCGTACGTCGTTTGCTCGGTCTTATCGCGCCCGTATCTCACGGTCGGTTCATCCCCGATGCGCTCGCAGCAGCTCGATGATAAACGTGACTGTTTTTCCGGGTTTCTTCGTCATAAAGTGCCGGCTGCAAGCTAGAGGCAGTGTCACTTTCAGCGTAGAAAGGGGGTGGCTTGCCCCCTGTTGTGTATGTGTAATGCACACGTATAATCGCGCGTATATCGTGTAAGCTTGCAGAAACACACACGTTAACACGTATGTGTGTATATTGGGAAGAGGGATACATCGAAACGCGTTGCATTTTCGAGTTTCCCTCTTGCTCCTTGCTTTTGTTTCCCATCTTTGCCTAGCTAACACTCGAGGTGTTAATGCCAAGATTTTATACCGGCTCACCGGAGAGAGAATTTACGAGGTTATATTTTCGTTCGCGGCTGGAAGCTAAAAGAAAGAAACGAGAACGATTTAAGAGCACGCCGACCGTCCGAAATGTTCAGCGTATTCGTTTTCTTCGTGCATCCCGGGTAAACCAGCCAGGGGTGCCTGACCAGGTCGAATGTATTTCAGCCGCTTCGAGGCGAGTTATTTCACGAGGTTTCGACGTCTGCGCACGATAGCCGGTGATCCGGAATTTATTTCGGCTCATTGCAAGAGCTCGAGGGGGTGGAGAGGCGGCCCGCGTTGAGAGAAACTCGCCGAGATGGAAGTTCACCCGGGGATGGAGGTACTAATAATTATTCGCTCGGTTGGGAAAAAACGTCTGCCCTCGTGCTATGACACGTTTCTCGTGAAATATGCATTTCGTTAAAAGCACCGGGCGTAGATGTGTACACGCGTCCAAATACAAACACAGAGGCACTATCCGTAAGGCGTTGCGAAGTATTTTACGCTTTATGCATCGCGCTTTCTTACAACTGTTTTAGAGTGGAATAAGAATGTCTTGGCGATGTTGTTTCTTGAGTAAGGTTCAATCCTTCTTCTTCTTCTTCTCCTTATTTTCCTTTTCTTCGAAGAAATATCTCGCGGAATAACGCGATATATGGCCCGTGTAATTTTTCTTTACCATTTTCATTGCAATTTTTGATGATAATTTGGGAAAAATCTTCAAGTTTTACGCGGGGTTTTCCGATGTGAATTTAATTGCAATTTTTTTTTTGATATTCCTGGTATTTCTTCATTGTCCCCATTTTTAGATTTTCTTGCTTATATTCTTGCTATTGGTATCCTTTTTTTTTTTATTGTAAAAATTTGTCGTTTATTGATGTATTTTTAATGCAAACCTCCTTCTGTACATTTTCCTCGCGATTGAAATTCACTGACATTTTAAATGATTTTTCATGTTATGAGATCTCCTTCGTGTCTTCGCGTTTCTTTTATTATTCTTCTGGTTATTATTTTTTCTTGATGTCTCGTTCTTTTATCACAATTATTATCATTTGTGCATCTTTGTATAAGAATTAAATATTGACATTTACTCCATCACAGAATTTTTTCCACTGAATGGAAAATTTTTCAAAGTTCCTGTTAAATACAAGTCTGTAAGACACAGAAGATTATTTTTCATGAGCTAGTTAGAAATTGGACCTCGCAAGTAGTTGAAATAAATGGAATGAATCTCCCAGAGATGTTCACATATTAGGACACAATTGCTAATGATGAGATATCTACTCTTTCAAGGGATAATTGATATTGCATAATAGCTTTAGACTCACAATCGTAAAATTAAAGATTGAAGATTGTTGAAATTAAAGATTCGTCAAACGCATTCTTATTATTATTACTGACATTTGTTCAATTCTTCCTCCACTATTAATTAAATTGTTCGAGTGACTTTCTATCAAAATCAATTATCTAATATCCTTCTCATTGAAAAGAGATTTTCATTATAAAAGAAAGAGAAATCTCAAATTACTAAAAATAACTCAAAAATACTAAAAAAAATAGCTCAAGTAATAAAAAGAAAATAAATTTTAATCATTCAGGAGCATTTTTATATGAAAAGTATCATTCATTCATTTTTTAAACGTAAAATATCATTTATTCATTTTTTTTAACATTACAGAGTAACAATTTATTGTTCGTTCGTCGAACGTTTTGAAGATGCTCGAAATTGTCTAAAGTTTCTACGAGTCGCGCAAGGACAATTAACGAGACTTACAGAGAAAACATGAAAAGAAAGAATGCGACGAAGTAAAAGGGATGCAGTAGACATTACGTGAACATAGTTCAGATGAGATCGAAAGGTAAGTTAACAGGGATGAAATTGGTTGGTTCTTGGAACATACATGTAATTAATGTGGTGTCACGCATCGAGCAACTCCGAATCCCTTATCCGGTTCCCTTGCTTTCTCACTGAAGATAAATTCTTGGGATCGCGAGATAATCTGAAATCCCATTACAGTCCGTTGTTAGATTCTCCTGTCGCATTGTGAACATTTGGTCGCCGGTCTCTTTCTCTTTTTCCTTCTCTTTCATTGTCTCTCCTGCTCTCTTTCTTTTTTTGTTCCTTCTCTTTTACCACCGCCTTTCTCCACTTTCCACTCTTTGCCGCTGCTCTGGACCTCGGATAATGGTCAAGGCGTGTCGGAGTTTAAACGAGTGTTTGCGCGTGTGTAAATTATGGTGACCCCTTTCGAAATACTCGATTTATACACGTACAAGGATCGTTCAGAAGCTGCGCCCTCATCGTCACGCCTCATGCTCGGCCGATCATTCTATATTCCCGTAATATTCGCGTTAGCGTTGTGATAATACTTTTAATTCTCAACCGTCCTCTGAATTTAGTTTGAACTAGTTATTTCTCTCTCTCTCTCTCTCTCTCTGTCTCTCCTCTTTCCGTAGGAATTGCTAGCCGCATTGCTCAAGAAATGACATTTGTTCTTGTAATTTCCAGGCTCGCGTCGACGCCAAAGGTTTCTGGCATCGTTGCAATCTGTGTGTTCGTTCACCGGCAGGAATTCTCTTTGGAATTCCTTTAGGAAATTGTTACGGGGAAGCACGCTGCTCGTCAGAGTGCAGATTTTAAAGGTCTCAAGAAAAATATTCGGTCTTTTAAAGAAAAATATTCGGTCGGTTTAATCTACACCCAGTCATTCGTTGAAAATTATTCACTTTAATTTTACCCGTGTTTTTCAGGACGCTCTGTACAACAGGTCCCGGTCCCGTAGGATCCCTTCTCTCAATAATTAACGCATGACCTGTTGTCACGTGAATCACGGAACTATAACGAACGCGTATACACGAATAAACATTAAATGACACGACGCAAAATTACTCAGCCATCGCGCTGAGACAACAAGTATCTCTTTCTTGACTCTGAGCTGATAAACACTACCGTGGCCAAAGAATGACTTCGTCGTGGCCGGAGAGAGGAAAATTTCCATGAACGTCCGGCCTCCTATTATTTCCATCGGAGAGAATACAGCTACGTACACGACCGTCTATTTAACTTTTAAAGAATCACGTAAGTATTTTTTTCCGAGCTGTGTATCTTTTCAAGCAGATCCGAGCACGATCTGTTCAAATCGAATCAACTGTCGTTGCCATTTTTCAAGAACGTCCCTACATAACGTGGATCAAGTCATTTGCTATTTTATTGTATGTGCATTCTAGTGCTACGCCAGCTGCGATTTCACGAGGGCAACTCTAGGCAGCCTTGGGAACCAATCCGGTACGATGCGTCTTCGCTAAGCGTTGCGATTGATCGAGAAGAGTTCCAATATTAAGATTTTTCGTTCCACACATCGGCTCATGCAGAATAAAAAAAATGACTGGTGTCGGTGTTAAGGACACTCATCGCTGGTGTCGATCATGTGTTGGATGACCAACCAAGCCTGGCAATATTGGCTCAATACTTAAAGTGATCTGTACTTATTCATACAGCAAATTTCGATTGAAGTACTCTTAAAGTGATCTGTACTTATTCATACAGCAAATTTCGATTGAGGTGACTGACAGTCGACTGACGACTGAGTTCATAAGATAATATTGACTGATATTTGATGATTAATTTTCTACTTTGATTAAAATGGTAAAAACATGTTCTTATCTGATTATGTTCCTTTTGACTATGTCCTTTTTTGTGCTCTTTCTCATCTGACTGTTCTATCTTGTGTTCCTTTTTATCTGACTGTACCTCCTTTTATATATCCAGAGTCCTCTTTTATATCAAGGTCGTGTGTTACCCTTTCCAAAGGAGTCTGAAAAGTTGTGGAATGGAGAATGTGTTAAGATTAATCAAGAAGTATGGAGAGAAGGTTTCCAAAATGTTTGCTATCCATGAGAGTAATTCGGGTGGGATGGCAGTTCTGGAAAACGGTCCCATCTTCTTCTGGAAACTGTCCTATTGCTTGCACAATAGCTTTGGCACAGAGGTATATGAACAGATTTCGCATACAATGTATTTTTTTGTCCTACGATTTCGAGTTTGGTCCTAGGAGCCCCTTAATTGTACTTATTTAAGCAAGTTTTGCATTGCAGCACTACTAGTGATAAGAAAATCAAAAAATATGGACAGTATTGTCACATGCTTCGAGAGTTATTTATTGAATTGAATGTGGTGATATTTCATCAATGAAAGAATATGATTGAAACGATTTAAAACAGCGATTGATGGAAATTGAGATGAAAAATTCGTTATATATTTGATTATTTACATCTATTTAAAGGTATTAGGAAAAATTGATTAAAATATATTTTTTAACAACATAACTAGATATGAATTAGCTACGATGTTTTTTGTTTATTTTAATGTGTAAATTCAGAGTTCTGCAAACTCGATTTTATAAAAGCTTGGAAGTATCTTTAACAGAAGTATCAAAGAAATGTTTCTACAAATATTGTTTATTATAAAGTTATATTGTAAATTATTTTTTGCAGATCGTTTTCGAAATTTTGAAGTCATTTGTTAAGAAGAACTCACATACGAAGTCATTTGTTATAACTCGTTAAAAATTAATGAATTATTATTTAAAGTTAAATGAATTATCGTAAAATAGTGAAAATAAATCGTACAGCTAGTTTTAAGGGCTCGCTGTAAAAGGAAGATTTCAATTTTCAAGATCATTATTGATCTAATCATGAAAAAGAAATGTTCAGTGATGGAAAAATTTCCCTTTAATAAGATTGAATTTTTACAATTTTCGAGAAGAAAAATATTTTTATTTTTACACTTGCTACATGGTGTAAAAATAAATATTTTTGAAGAAAACTCAAGATTGTGGAGACTTTACTCTTTCAAATGAAATCAAGTTAATTGTTACAACTTTTTTCATAAAATTATAACAGTAAAGTTCTGACAATTTTTCATCTCGTGTATGAATATTTTCGTTCTTTTTCTTACGTTAATGTCTTACGAATTTTGTATATTTGATTTAGACTAGAATTTTGTATTCTTTATTCTCAGTTAATATTTTGTGCGAAATGCGCGGGTATTGGGTTTAAATTATTTAAAGATTAGCGCCAATGTGCGGTCAATACGTAATACACTTCCTATGATTCTCGAACATATCGATATTTCTCACGATCGAGTTTTGAACGGGAAACATGGCGGAAAGGAGCACATCTCATCCGTAAAGAAGAAAGAACATTATCCATAATATTATTCAGAAGAATCAACCAGAAAGATGTATTATCCAAAAGTTCTCAGGTAAAAATATAAATAAATAACTGTTGAATTTGTGTTTGTATTGTGAATTTTTAAAATAAAATGTGCTTTTTTGACTTCAACTCGAGGTAAGGTTTAACCAATAATTATTACATACAATTTTCAAGAATTAAAGAAATAATAGCATATAAAGATTTAAACAGAATATATCATGCTAAAATTATTTATAACTTTATATCAAAATTTAATTTCAATTCTAACCAGCAAATATTGTGACCTTGTAATATGACTAACTTTTCATTTTATATGTATATAATGTGCTTTTATTTTTATCGTAACATTTTCTATTTATTTGTTGATTCTTTAACCTCATATTGCGTAATTTTTAACAATTCCAATACTAAATTCAACAATAATTTAGTTAGGATATACGTATTTAATAATTAATTTAATAATAATAATTCTGCTGCGTAGTATAATAAAATTTTTCATGTTCCAGTTTGAAATATTAATTATTTTTCATCAAGTATTTGAATATTTACGTTCTTTTTTTAAAGAATTTCTCATGAGTTTTGCATATTTGATTTCCATTTATTACCAGAGTTTTCCATTTATTCCTATTCCTAGTGATCATTTCTTTTAGTGTGAACGTGCGACTACAGCGCCAACGGAGAAGTACGAAATACACTTCCTACGATTCTCGAATATATCGATATTTCTCACGATCGATTTTTGAACGGGAAACATGGCGGAAAGGAGCACATCTCATAGGTAAAGAAGAAAGAATATTATCCATAATATTATTCAGAAGAATCAACCAGAAAGATGTATTATCCAAAAGTTTTCAGGTAAAAATATAAATCAATAATTGTTGAATTTGTGTTTTGTATTGTGATTTTTTAAAATAAAATGTGCATTTTTGGCTTCAATTCAAGGTAAGATTTAACCCAATAATTATACATATAATTTTCAACAATCAAAGAAATAATAGCATATAAACATTTAAATAGAACATACTATGCTAAAAGTTATTTATAATTTTATACCAAAATTTAATTTCGATTCTAAATAAAAATATTGTAACCTTGTACTTGACCAACTCATACATATATATATATTTATGTATACACACACACACACACACGTATTTTACCATATGCTTTTACACACATGCTTCTATTATAACATTTTCTATTTATTTATTGATTCTTTAACTTCATACTGCGTAATTTTTAACAATTATAATACTGAAAAACAATAATTTATTAAGAATGTACATATGTAATAGCTAAAATAATTATTTTACTGTGTAATATAATGAAACTGTACAGGTCTCAAATAAAGTAAAGCATAGAAATCCTTGTAACACGAAATTCGAAGTAAAAAATAACAACACGAACACAATGTTTATGTTCTCTTAATTGTCGTGCTTGTTCGGACAGGATCACCCCATCCCCTACTACTTTCTCAATTGATTGACGAGACGTGTGGCGGAGAGTCATTCGACTGCTGAATTTCATAACAACACGTATTGCGTCGCATCAGGTTCGTGACTTTTTCTAACCTATCGGTGGCGTCCCTTCGGTAACGTCGCTTCTTTGACACTCTTTTACTTCCATTTATACCTCATTAACAGTATCATTTAATTAATACGCGTGTATTGAATAATTATGATAACGAAATCGTGTAGTGCTTTGAAACTTTTCGCACCAATTTTTCTTTAATCGTCCATTTCACTTTTTGGTTTACCAGTAGTTTGTTTTGTACGCTTTTTTAATAGAATTTGAAGTTGATTATCGTTTCATTTTTACACATTTGCCTTTATTTGATCTGACTTTTGGTTTCTTTCTGTGCAGGTTCTTCCTTGCTTGCAAAGATAATATAGAGTGTTTAGATGCCACGATGATTAATGTATAATCTGATCATCTTTTATGGAAAATTGGTAACATTTATTCATTTTGGAAAACATTTGGTATACAATTTATATATATTTATATTTGATACAATTCAGAATACGTATTTTCATGATTATTTGTGATACAAGGATGAAAATAGAAAAGATTAAATCAATTAATGTTTTATTTCGAATGTAGAGATTGTAGTACCTCAATAGTATATATTTAAATGGATATACCTTAGATTATTACACTCACAGTTTTCGTACTTTATTATATTATAGCTTGCTATAATATATTTACTTTTTTCGAACATCAATACGCAATACATATTCAAGTTTTGTTATTTTCAGACGTATTCATTATTTTCAGAAAATTTTTGTGACCGCGTGCAATGCGGTCGGTAGAGCCAGTGTTTGTTGCGCAGTATTTTAATATTTTAATATTCTAAAACCAAAATGACTGTCATTAAAATAGAACATTAATTCATTTAAATTATAATTCGCGAAGTTAGAGTCGGTGAGTTCGCCGATTATTACTTAAACGCGCGCGACGATAGTCTTTTATTTTTCTTTTTTTGTATTTTTTCTTGTTCAGTGTTCGTTTTCGGTATATTAGAGTCAAAGTGCTCAAGAGGATAAGTCCTCTCCTGGAGATCAAGATCGTAAGTTATATATTGTACTTTAATTTACTTAATTTTTCAAATTTGACAACAAAGTATAATGTTTGATGTTTTGTTACAGACGTTTCACAGCATCAACTTTTTAATATATTTTGGGGAAAATCCAACGGTGGCTCCAAAGCCAAGAATGTAAGAATCTCTCATTATTTTCAACTTAAGATTTTTCTTTGGTTTTAAACATAAATTCTAATGTTTAGTGTTTTGTTATAGATTTTTTACAATCTCTCCTTCCCCTAATCTTTTAAGGATCTTATGATGCTTCAAAAGCTAAAAATGTAAGTACTTTAGCATGTTGTATTTGAATTCTATTTTCTGTAGTACGTCTTCTAAAAATACTTCAAATTAGTCTGAATTTTTATTATTATTAAAATTCAAATTTTCACAAATAAGACTGTGTCTTTAGAACAAAATATTTTATGTTTTTCAGGAAATTTTTCACGGCATTTACTTCACCATGGGTATCTACTTGATGTGAGTCTTCACGATAACTTTCCCTGGTCTAATGTGGCATCGATGATAACGTTTTTCATATCTGTCGCGTGAGTCGCATGCATTTATGTTCCTCCGGTTACTCAATCATGTCGTAGGATGAAAGGTCCGAATCGGCACGGGTGACTGGTTGTATACGTAGACTTTTTGATGAGCATAGTGACCACGGGTATTTTTTATACCCGTGAGTAGTAACATTTTTTCTGGTCTTTTATGTATTAGATCAGGATAGGGCTTCTTGCACATCGCGATTTTAACAATTAAATTTGTAGCAATTACTTATAAAATCAAAATATCTTCAATATAAATATTTGTAAAGATAAAATATGTATATAAATATCCATATGAATAGACAAATTACAAATAATTATTATTAAAATGATTTCGTTGGAGCATTCCATAGTAGAGAAGAAGGATACTCTCCGACTTCGTTGCTATGAAAGATGCAATTATTACTTATTGATATTGGAGATATATTTTGTTATAATAATTAATAATTAATAATTTTCATTTTCCCTTTTATAATAGTATTAAATATAATTATAATAGTATAAATATAATTATGAACTTCAGTAAAATTTGAAATAATAATAGATTAGAATAGATTTGAAATAATAATAGATTAGAATTTTTTCCGCAAAAAAATATACAAAATTTTATGTGCAAGAAGATACTTCGCGACAGGTAGATTTTGAATCAAAGCAATAAGTTTGATCACTGCTTTCGTATTTTCGAAAATGTGCTTTGATGAAGAAGTCGCCTGAGGTTCTATTAATATTTAATTTGGAATCAATTGTTTGATTTTGATTGTTTGACAATTATTAAATTGTTAAATTGTTCATATTATCTTTTTTAAGAAATTCAAGTTTTGTTCATTTTCTTTATTCTCTTGCAATTTCAATAATTTCTGAAAGAGTAGAATCATTACAATTTGAAATAAAATAATGCATTGGTCCGTTAGATACAAATTATATAAACTAATCATTTTTTTAGTTCAGGATTTTCAGGTTTAATCCCTTCCGTGTTTATTGTCAGGATCTCACTCACGTGCCCAGGTGCTACTTGGGTGGGTGAAAGACATTGGGCACGATGACCATAGTTTGTAATTTNCCCTGTATAGGATAGGTAGCATACTTTCTGGTGTGAATGTGTTCAATTGTAAGTAGGTAGGGCCGGGCAGGTTGGCACAGTCTCTGGTCGCGTGTCCCCTTTTCGCGTGTCCAACCTGTTTCAGGAAATTTAATTTGAAAAATCGACAGTGAAATTGGTATGCCACTTGCCTCTGGTTTTACTCTTCGATTTTTCGAATTTAGTATCGCGGTCGCGGTCGTGGATAGGTCGCGAGTAGGTCCCGAAACGAACGTTTATTTAGGTATTGCTCGAGCACGCACGTGCGAACGGACAACGATCACTGTGATCGATGTTCGTCCATGTGTATTGAGGTCAGCTTTCGCGTTTATAAAAAATATAAATTATTTTTTAGATTGCGATTAGAAAGACTCGAGCTAGACGTAAGTTTCAGCGGGCATTGCGCTCGAAGAAAAGAAGAGGCCCGGCAAACTGCCACGAAGAGGGTCACAACAAATGGCTTCTCATCTTCTGGATCATTTAAATGGTTCCAGAGCATGGGAAGTCATTCTCGTTACTACATTGTCACTATGCTCTAGTATTTGTAGTTGTATTTTTCTTTTTTCTTCTCTTCATCGTTCATCTTCGTTTTGGGCAAATCGCGGTTTTTCTTGCTAGTGTTGCGAGAAATTGATTACGGTTTGAATTAGAGTTGCGAATTACAATACCGCGATTGTTTTTAGCAGTTTTGATTATGAATTTTTAATGTTATATTGTTATCTTGAAAGTTGTAAAATTTGTCTTGTTTTTATTGTTTTAAATTAGATTATAGAATCACTGCTTTTAGAGTGTTAGAATATTTGAAGTAGCTTTTGATTTGTACAATAGCTTTTATATTGTTAATAAGTTTTCATTCAATTTGATTTTAGAGTTAGTGTTGCGACATTATTTCTTTGCGATTACTTTTTCTCTCGTTAGTGTTGCGATAATGAATGATTGCGTTTCTTGAAGTAGCGTTGCGTTTACAAAATGCCCAAATTCCTTCCACTGGATTCGTGGAAAGTTGTTCCTGCTCCTGGATCACCTGATGCAGCTGTACAAGAGCTGTACATGGTGGTCATTCATCAGCAACCTCCAGCATGGTTGCACTGGATGCATCGCAATTAGTGTTGCGTATTTCTAAATATGAGTGCATAAATTAATAGCGTTGTGTACTTATAACACTTTCGGGAGTTTTTTAGACATGCACTCTTTGCGTTTAATTTTGAAAATTTCCTATTTTTTGTATTTTTTTATGTTTAATATTTGTTTTCAATATTAGAGTCTGTGCTGAAGAGGATAAGGCGATCAAGATCGTAAGTAGTTTTATATATTGTACTTCAATTTTTCAAATTTAACAACAATTACATATGGTGTTTTACGTTTTGTTACAGACGCTTCACATCAGCATTAATTTTTTTGGCGAAAACCCAACGGTGCTTCCAAAGCCAAGAATGTGAGAATCTTTCATTATTTTCAACTTTAATTATGTGACAAGTAATACTAGCTGATTTTTGCGATCTCGGTTAGGTGTTTGCATAGATGTTCATATCCATTAGATTAATGAAAAATAAATCATACGTAGTTTTGACGTACTAATTTGCAAGGGTATGGGAAATATTTCATCCGAATTTGTACATTTTTCATATAAAAATATTTTAGAAAGTCTAGGATTAATTATTTCTCTCACAATGATTATATCTGTGATTTTTCTTTCTTCTTTTCTTTAATTTCTCTCATATTATATTGAACTTTTGATAAAATTATTTGAGCTGTTAGGTTCTTTATTTATTAATATTTTGTTAATAACTTCAGAATTTAAATGTACTGTATAAAAAAAAAATTGCAATACCATAAAACATGGATAGAGCGCTTTCTGATATATAATGGAATAATTTCGGTTAGTTACTAGCTTCACATTTCGGTATTGAAAATTTGACAACACTGTAGTACTGTAGTGGGTTTCAAAAATCATGTTTCTGGCGCATTCACTACTTGACGAACTTCGATCGTTTTACTTGATACCATAGACGAGGTGTATAAACATAAATTTCATCGCACATGAAACTGACTAAATTTATGATGTACCTAGTTTGGCCTAGCCATTTTTCTGAGTATCCTATATCTGCGAGTTCTGCGCACAAATGTTTCCGAAATTTTTAATATGGACATACTGGATCCGTGCCATGAGTGTTACGTATCTTTAACACTAGAACATACCGACGACTAAAGCATGAAATTTCCATCAGAAACATTAAAGTAAAAAAAAAAAAAATGGAAAAGCTTTGCAACACAATAAATTACACAAGCTTTCATCTATGTCTATTTTTTTCGAAAAATCATTTAAACGTTTAAAAGTATATTATTTCATGTCTACAAAAATTACAAATTGGTCGTTTGATAGTCTGGTTTGATAGTTTGGTCCACTTTGATAGTTCTAGTGTTAACAGTCGGTCACCACCGAAATTCGGTTTACCTTTGCTCCTTCTCTTTTCTCTCTCGCTCCGTTTTCTTCAGCCGACATTTCTCGTCTTTGTCCCGTGAGCCTCAGTAACGTTGAAACAAGATGTTCGGTCTCACGAGGCGCCACGAAAGACAAAGAAAAGACCGAGGGGAGAAAAAAAAAAAAAAAAAAACAGAAACAAGGGAAAAGCAGGAAACATCATTATAGGGGGTGGGAGGGAAGAGGCAGAAGAGATTCGCAGCCGCGTCGAGAATAATATCGTGCAACTACGTGGAACGAGGCAGCGGGACGCACGACCAGCTGCCTTTTTAAATCTAAACTGCCCCGTTGCAACGCGTATATCACGGAATAACAAATTTATTCTTCGTTCGGAATAATTCTTCCGCGGCCGTTTCTTTCGCGAGACCTTCTTTCACCGTGGCCATGTTCAGCGTTCGTGCGCGCGGATAAAGAACGCGAGAGATCGTTATTTACGCGGTGAATCTAATTCAAGGGCTATCGATCGTCGTTCGGCAACACGAATATCGCGGGACTGTAAACCAGTCTGAGTTGGAATTTCTAAACACGCTATAAACTAGCTATTCTAACGGAGCAAGCGTCGGATCTCCGGCCGATCTCCTTTCGATTTTCGAGAAAGTCTCTTCGGGACTTCTCCGTTACTCTCCGCTCTTGTAGATTGTTTCCACTTTCGTTCTTTCTCACTGCAGGTTTCGTGTATATACTTGAAATTTGGCTCTTTTTCACTTCCTTTCTTCGTTGCGTTTTATAGTTTGTGACTTCGTAATTGATTAATCTGTAATCTGTTCTAATTGAAAAAAATCTGTTAGCTTCGTCATGAAAGTCATTGCTGTCGTGAAAAACGACTCGGCGTTAATTTGTAAATCGTGACGATTAAAATTCTGCTAACAGTAATAGTTCAAATATGCGAAAAGAAGAATAAAATAATATCTAAGTACCGAATATAATGTCTGATATATATGGTATTAATAATTTAAAAATAAAATGGTCCCTTTGAATGAATTCGTCATCTTATTATCAATTCACGAAGCACTCTCGTGTGAAATTAATCATTAAATTATAGCGATTAGGAATTATTCATTAAAATGAAACTTTAACGTGTGTGTAAAGCGCAGCATCACTTACAGAATAACACATTTTGTAAACAATGGCGGAAATAGAAATTTCTGTCAAATTGCTATTTTCGAAGCGACCAGTGGCGGCTACCTTTTAATTAAATACGATAGAAATTATTCGTTGCCGCGGTGGAATTAATGCTCTAACTCCGGCCAAACATCATTGCCTGGCACCTGCATTTTGTTACAAACTTATATATTACAAATTAAACGCGAGAGAGTGAAAGAGAGCATGCGAGAGCGAGAGAGAGAGAGAGAGAGAGTATATAGCGCTCGTTAGTGGTTGCAAATACGTTCGGTTGATGCTGCGAGGC